TCTTAGCAGTTGGTATTTGGCATTTTTGGAAACAACAACATTTAATTGAAAGTTCTGCTTTATGCCAAACTCTTACTGTAAAGAAGTACTGAACTATTTACAGTGCAGTACTCCGTTTACTGGATTGGCACGGCTAAAGAACGCATTCGCTTACAACAAATTCCCACTAAAATATGTGACTTTTAACCACACGACTTTCGCAAAGATTAGAATCTCTGTAGCATCATTCATTTTGGAGATTCAAGCTTCTTGCTATCGCTGCTTCTGCAAATTGATTCCACAACTTGTGCAGACCGACAATCAGTTTCGTCCTTTTATCTCTCTTCGTATTTTTCAAACTCTATGTTCTTCTCATTTACTGTCGATTATTGTTTCCTTCATCTTTTCAATTTTCCTATCGCTTCCTCCTCCTGTTCCTCCTTCGCCTTTCCCATTCCCCTCTTTCGCCTTTTTATTTCCCTCCTTTTCTCCCCCACCTCCTTCTTTGTTTTATTCTCCTCATATTCCTTGCCTTCCCATCTCCCATCCCTCGATTCCTCTGCCTCTCCCTCTCTTTCTCATACCACTGTCACATTACAACTACAAAGATCTGCTCTAACACTGACTGAATGGCAACCGAATGATCTTCTACTCTCGACAATAACATGCATAAATTTTTCAACTTATATTCAACGATCAAATCCTTACAGTGCATCTGAAAAAAACTCATTGTCATTCGTTGTCTGATGCACAGCTGACAGCAAATGAATGGTATATTAATCAGAAATAAGTCCCCTCAGTATTTACTTTTCCACCTTCTCCCCATTTTGGCTATGATTCGGCTGCGTTAAAGTAAGAAACCGATCTTCTGTTCCCTCAGCCGCGGCTCTCATTAATGTTTGACGCCAGCCTGCGCATAGAGAGCTATCCCCTCTTTCGAGAGCATCGAAACTGTATTAGACCCTAAAGCTTCCTCTGTGATAGCCGCGATCTCGCCTTAACCAGTTTTTTAACACAAAATGGATCGAACGCTGCCTTGATTACATACAGTGGACTATTTATGACCTACTGTAACGGTCACTAAGGCATGAAATAGCGAAAAATTGGAACCTCAGCTTGGTTGCTTACTGCATTTAAGAGCGCTATGAGTATTAGCACTGTTATTTTGAAAAGTTGCACTGCTACTGTTAAAGTTTGGATCACACCGTGGCTGTAGAAAAGTATAATTAAATGTACCTGTAGCAAATGCTATAAAATTATAAATTCTTAAAAGGCAACAACCCGTTACATTAATGGCTAAATTGAACTAATGATCAAAGGATCACTTTAAGAGGAGCTATTAGATATTAGAAGAACAACTTTTTCGTTTGTTTATATAAACTTCTCTTATATTCTTCACGTTCTTGAATAATCTTACTTCGTAATTAGAGGCGAACATCGTTGCTTAATCTCGATGCCTATGTTCATCAGTGTCGTACGATTTTTCGCCAAAACCTTGCGTGTCATTCCTTCAGCTCATCACCCCATCAGAACTAAGGTCTTCCAACTAGGCGCTTGTAGACCCATGGGTGCGACAACCGTCTAAGTTCATGTTTTATCCGTCCATAATGCGGTGTGACCAGCTAACTGTTGCTTTCTTTCGCTTGAAATTGATACAACGTCCTGCATTTCCGCGCTGTGTATGTATGTATGTATGTGTGGCTTGCTACTTCTTCCTTTCCACGCCTCTGCATCCTACTTCCATCATATCTGGCCACTGCCCTCTTAACGGTTCTTCAACCCATTTCGTCAAATATCTAGGTCTAGCAACTACACAAATCAGTTGGAAATACAGTGCTTTTATACAGTGTTGTCCTAACAATAGTTGATAATTTTCTGCTTTCCTGTGCGTGCATCACACAACACTACGCCTTCTAATGAACTCAGAATCAAACGAGTTTTCGAGACGATTAGCTATCCCAAGCAGACATACTTTGGGACACTTCTATTTGGTAATTATTGATAATCACTGTTCCTAACTGCTTGAGTTAACTTCTTATCACATTCCTCTTTGCTCTGTGTAGCCGAAGCCAAACTTGCATGCTTTTTAATTCCGGCTCACATAGCGTTGTTCGGCGTCTTTTACTTCGTCTTTAACAGCACGATATCGTCAACAAATCTAAGATAATTGAACCCTCTGCCCTTGGCAGAAAATCATTTAGACATACTCCTGCGGAAGTGAGGGCCCGGGAGTGGTGCATGAGCCTAAACTGTGCTTGCCATCACTCGTCAAAGCCTCTTCCGCGAAAAAAACTGATAAAGTGCTCCGCTTCTCTGAATTCGTTGGGACTTGATGAAAGCTTCAGAGACGTCGGCAACGGTTCATGAGGAATGATACCTCAGATGGACTGCCGAACATTCGCTTGGCAGAAAATGCTTAAAGAACGCGGATAATCGAGAAAATAGTTACAACCGCGTCTGCCTGAATAACACCTACAACCTGGTGAGCCACACGACGCGATTGGCTCCAATTGTGAAATTACCTACCCTCTAGCGAAATCAGCGAGCAGAAAACAGAAAAGCTTGGGGAACGTCTATTTGAGTTCTGGCGCACTCAGAACGAGAACAGGCTTAATGAAGAATGAAGAATCAGAGCTAGACTAAACTGGGCTATGCTTAATTATGCATATTCACAATCGTTGACACGCCAACCTTCTACCAGCAATGCATGTATTAGCACTAGATGCTTTAAATAAAAAGTCAGCAATTAGAAAAGTTACCATATTTTATTTCAACTTTGTAACGTAAGGCGATAACTTGCGTTTTCAAGAGGGTTTTTTGAATGTAAGATTTAATTTCTTTGACTCTTAGTTTAACACATTATCCAGAGTGTTTATATTTAGAATATTACGCACTTTCATTACAGAATTTTCCAGTAATGCAGAATACTGGCAATTTTTCTTCTGAACACTGGTAGATGTTCCTACTTGTGGAGTTCTCTCCTATCTTCACCACTTTAGTTGGATACAACTGAGGAATACTGCGTAGTTTTCTCATAAGTGGCTTTCGACCTTCGTGTATCAAAGGCGGCTATATGTAGCCTGTTCAGATGAACGATTTGTAGAACACGAAACGTTGCTGTGATAACAGCTGTGTTAAAACCTGCAGAATATTAATACTGCCGTAGTCAAAATGCCGTCCCTCTATCATCATCAGGATAAATATTGTTCAAAGACACTGTCCACTTCATTGCATTGCCAATAAGCGAACAACTGCTATGTTTTCTAAATTCGTCATGTGCATTTCGCTTCACGGCGATGATCAGGGATCTCTGGATAGGAGGCGGTCACACGCATTCTCATGCCACGGTGAACTTCACTTCGCTCACGTGGCAAAACTATTCCGGTGTCAAGGTTGTTTCGGACGTTTTCCAAGATGCGTGGTAATCCTTTGCGACATGTCAATTTTCGGCAGACACAACAGCAGCCGCTGCCTTTCAGGACAACTTGAGCAAAACAACCGTTTTCCGTCAACAGAATTTGTCACCTTGTTGGATAGGGTGAAAATTGCGGCTCTGTCATCGAGTCCATGCAGAGGGCCGCTGAAAGCGAACAAAGTTAGGTTTGCCAGGTGATTATCGTCGACGATGGTTTGGTCGTGTGTACCAACGCCTCGTTTCGAAGTCGCTCGCTCAGTTCTCGCTCTCAGACCAGAAAACTCGTAAATCATGCGACCCGTGAGCTAAGCTGCACAGGTTTTTCCAATAGAGCGCCAATCGCAGTGCACGATTTAATAATTACTCACTTTTTACATTCCTATAGTATTCTCATTTTTATGTTCAAGATCTTTTGTGCATTTTTACAGCGGTGAAATGCCAGAAGGACTGTGTCGTCTCAATTACGGCTAATTCGTCTGCTTAGCGCCAAGCACACTAAGCGATCCTGTAAATCTTTGGGGTCGCGGTGCGTACAGAATGAACAGCAGATATTGAAAGCCGACGCCAAACGGGTTGGGCCGCTGATCGCCACTTTTTGCTGTCATACGAGAGCAAGTTTTATTGTTTGGCTAATGCTGTTCAAAGCTGGGCGGAACTGTCACTAAACCGACCAATATGAGGCTCGCCAACGCGACCCGAGTTTTGTCAAAACACTGAGACAAACTTTACTCTTAGGACTTGTACTTCTCATTGGCTTCAGAAAGCGTCGACGACATTCATGCAGGACATGAGTGAGTAGTTAAGCACACATCATGTCGAGTCGGTTCCCATCTAAGAATGCTTCTATGGGCAACCACGTGCACATTTATGCGTAAAATTATTCTGATTTAACAATTTTCGTGTTCTGTTTAAAGCCATTATATACACAATTTCATACCATTTCCCTGAAAATAAACAAAACTGACGGAGTAAATGCGACTCAGTTCGTCTTCCGCCTTCATTTAATCAAAAAACGCTTTATTGAGATATTAATTAACGAGTAAAGCCTTGGAATATGTTTAATACGCAATATGGCTACTCTTTCCTTGTCGACGATTGTACATTCTGCAATTATAGCTCAGTAGTTCGTTGCAGAGGAACGCAGTACCAATGTAAAGCACCTCAACGCCCAAAGAAGAAAAGGACAAGAAGTCTGTAGCCATCAGAATGTCTTTCTTCCATACATTTAGATGATGGAGGCAGCTCTAATGTTTTTGTTTTTTATGAAGTTTATAGTAGCGATGTTGATCTCCATTTCCATGCCGTAAGCCAGAAGTTACATAGTTGTAATAGGCATAATCGGTAGTCTCCTGTTTTCTTCATATTTATTTAACACAGTGATACTCATTCATGAACTTCGGAAGAAAGGAAGGCGAGTGACCCAGACCGGTGTTCGAACTCAGGTTCTCTTCACTGCGAATCCGATGCTTTACCCACCGAGTTACCCCGGGATCAAAAAAGGTGTGGTAAATTGGCTGCTCAAAGAAATTCATGGTAAAGACAAAATCTGCCCTCGCCGGGAATCGAATTCGGCATCTCCTGAGTTCCAAGCCTACTTCCCTTGAGCCAACTTGAGCCTACCTCCAAGCCTACTTCGTTACGTACTGTACCACTTCGCCACAACTCCACCAACATGCTGTTCTTCGTCTCTGTTTAGACACTTTCGAAAGGGCTGTGAAGTAGTCGATTAGCACTGATCGCTCATTAACTGAAAGTTAACAAGCCATTTGAAGAGATGTGGGTGATATTCCTGCTAAATGGAGCTCATTAGATTCGATTAGTTCGATTCTGATCTGTCGTAGTAGGTGTAGAGGAAGCCTGGCCGATATTCAGTTAGTAAAAGCATTCCGTTCCGTAACTAGTCCTGCTGTTGAAACAAGAAAAGAAGAGCGTGAAAATCAGCAGTCTGTTGATAACAAAAGAAAATTCGCTTTTTGAATGTTGATGGTGCAGAGCAAAATAAAGAAATTCACTTAGATTAATATTTGTTGCTCTAAATCGTTAAATATTATACTGGCATAATTCATGGCTAGGCGCTTAAGAAGAAAAAGACCTAAATGGTCATTCAGATGAAAGGGAAAGGAAAGGAAAACAGTGAGGGAACGAAAAATAGTAGGAAAGAAGAAACGATGACAAGGAAGATGACTTAAAAGGAAGTGTTAAGTGAAACCGAATGAATATAGTGAATCATAGTGAATGAAGATAAACATAACGAATTATAGTGAATGCAGAACAAGATAGAATAGATCAAAAATAAGAAGAAAACGGAGTGACAAAAAGAAGAAGAAGAATGACCATGAGAAACAAATGAAAGGAAGGGGAGCAAATATCGAATGCTGGATCATTAACCGCTTAATGCAGCTCGTGAGCTATTTATGTAGGAGCTGAAACAGTGCAGTCATAAACCAGAAGGTACTAAAGGATCTGCTTTCAGAGGGAAATATTTCCATATACGATGCAATAACTGGTGCCTTATTGCAGAATTGTTGCGAGTCTACGAATACAGCAGAAATCAGAAAAGGCACTCAAAAGGCAACACCATTTCCATGCGGTAAATGGCTGAGGCACACGAATCGCATACGTGGACAGTCATACGATCAGCATACACGTTCTCGTCTAAAGATGAACATTTGTGCTACAAGAAGAACACTCTCTGCTAGAAACTAGAACTCAAAATGGTTCTTACAAGACTCGAAGACTGCGCAACGTGAGAACAGATGCGATTAAAAATTCAGAAACGGGAGTTTAAACAAGCTGATGGAAAATTGAATTAAATATGCAGGTATATGAAGAAATCGGAAGAGCGGTTAAACAAAGACAGAGAACGTAAAAGTAGTGAGAAAAGGTGATCGTTAGGCAGCGCAAAAAAAAGAAGGCTTAAATGTGAGTTTAAACAATATGGTACTTATGTAGCAACAACCTTCGCAAGGCACGAAATGCCAAAGAGAGTACAGTAAGGTATAAGCATAGTGGAAATCAGATTTCTGCTTTGAAGAATAGGAATTTGCAGATTTTTCGTCAACGTTGCCCAGATGTTTTCTGCACAGCATGAATCAGATTCAAATTACTGTCGCCCTGACTCATATTTTG